AAATAAAAGGTGACGGCCACGGTGTTTACGGGGTGGCGAGGGTGACCTTAATTAAAGGCTTTGCTCGGACTTGGGCGATGCAATTTGCCTAAAAGACGAGAATTATTTTTATTGAAGTCATCACTAATTTTAAGAAAGGGGCCCCGATTGTCTATTGTTTTGGACAAATGGCTCTAATTGCTCGGTTTTTAGGTCGAATTCTGATAATTGCTCGGGATGCTATTGTTGGCGGCTATGAATTGGTTATCATTCTTTTTTTGTTTCATTGGAAGAGGCTTTAGGCTGCTGCTAAAATAAAGATAACAGTGACACCCAGTTACAGAGAAACTCAAAACACTTGCTATCTATATACCTATATCTATGTCTAAATACGATTTACTGAAGTAAATTACTTCACCTTCAGGCAAGTCGTGAGAGTTCTGACTTTGCTTGACCAAAACTTTTCTGTCGGGATTCAAATCCGGATAAGGCACACGTGAGGTAGCGGAGGTTTCCATTGTATAAATATAGCATAATTATCACATTTGTTGGAACGATTTTTGTAAAATTATATCCGATGACTTTTACTTCTACTAAATTAAGAGCAAGTTTTGTATTAAAGTTCGTGTTTAAAATATTAAAAATAACTTTCTTTAAATAAAACACTTTGACGGTTTAAGACGCAATATATTAGTAAAACTTATTTGAAAATGATTTTTAACTTCGGCCCGACGTTTCGGATGCTTTGCAGCAGCTGTGGTCCAGGGGAGACGGCTACTACTCGCGTACTCTACTGTCTATAGTTGACAGTATTTAATAACTTTCTTATTCTACGTAACCTGTTATGTCCACAAGTGTTTTGTACAATTTATGACGTCATCGATAAAACATTTGTATTCAAGTAGCTTAAAATTAAGTTACTATCTTACTATGTTATTTTCTAATACAAAATTATTAATAAAATTCCATTCACTTTTCCTTTTTATACGAGATTATTTTTCAATGCTTACTGTGTCCCTACACCGAAACATAAAACTTAATTAAGTTTGCCAATGCTTAAACAAAATTTAAGTAGTATTAATTATCTTCGTCCTTTATTAATAAAAGTCTCGAACTTTCCGAAAAAATCCGAGTGGAGACAGTTGTTCGCAAATCCGGGGGCTAGCGGCGGCAGAAATTAAAATCATAAGAAAATAATTAAAGTCCGTTGGGGATTTATTAGACAGAGACGTGATTAATTGGTTTTCGCCGAATTCGACTAGAAGCAATAAGTGTCAATTTTACGCGAACACAATCACTGGCAAAAATTAATAAGGGACTCTTAATTAATTTTTTATAATCATTGCTACTAAGGTAGTCTTAAAGTTCATTAGTAATTAACAACTGTGTTTTATTAACCACTGACTGAAATTTGTAGCTAAAAAGATGACGGGCTGGTTGGTAGTACTGTATGACTAATAATCAACTTTTCGAAACCGGGAAAATAAATGGTCGATAGGAATACTGAAATTCCGTCCGGGCTACAAACCTCCTTCGAGATGAAAACGCCGTCAAATTTAATCGCCTTCCGGTTTCAGTCTGTTGAGTTTGACATCCAGAGACAAAATAGGTCAATAGCACATCTTGTTCAGAAACTATTGACTTAAATGTAACTTCAAAGATGATGGGATCTTACTAAAAAAACGTGAACAACTTGTGTGACTATAAAACGACATATTTGCTCAATTAAGTAGTAGTAGAGCAGCGTGGGTTGTAGAATTTATTCCCATCCAAGTCATAATTGTCAATATCCAAGTCAATATTGAGTGAATTTTAAATACCCCAATACAAAGACTGGTATGTATTTGGCTTATATTCTGAACTACAAAGGTGTGTTATAGATCTCTCTTTTCCCATTGCAATAAGCTCTAGAGTACAAAATCAAAATACATCAGATAACAGATGATGGCAATTAAATAATTCACTTAAAGCAATCAGTTTCAATTTGGGGCGTTCGCGGCACGAGTCAACTTGACCATTAATAAATGGCAATGATACTTCAAAGTTAACCCTCTCGCATTAATGAGAGGTATCAGCCGCCACTTGTGCAGCTTAATCTCAGCTTGAAGCAAGAAAAATGGCTTGAAGGGATACCGAGAGACAAAAATGGTGAGCTAGTCAACTTTTGTTAGGGTCTTGATTATTAATTACCTAAGTACTGTTTGTGGTTTACGCGAGTAGTGCGAGGAGTACATTCAAATAAACTATAACGGTTTAAACCGTGCTTTAACCCGTTAAAAGTGATTTATTTAAGAATTAATTAATTTCGTAATTTTTGTCTTATATTTTTTTACTTCTTCTTTGTAATTGTGTTATATGCTATGTTTGCTTACTATGTATCGTTTTAAGTACATATATGATTTGTAAAATACTTAGCAATGAAATGAAGATGTCATTGAACGAGGCCGTGAAACGCAATAATAATAACAAAATGGTACACTACAATGTATCCGATCTTCGACCAAGCAAAAGATCTTGGGGCTACAAAAGCATAACACGAGAATCATTAAAGCTGTTATACACTTAAAATCGCATAAAATATCGCCGTCCCTAACCTTTTTAATGGTCTTGGCCCACCCTCGGGAAAACAAAGAGAAAAAAAAACTTCCCGAAAAAGTAGTGTATCCTGGCGATATTTATTATTATATTAAAAGCAGATCTAGGGTCGGAATGCCTTCGGCGATTACTGCGGCCAACGAATTTATGGTCAAACTTCGCGCGAAGGCGACGGCGCGAGTTTTTATTATGATCAGGCCAGTGGACCGTGAAAGCAAGTTGCTTCGGGGCGCTGTAATTTCCATACCTCATGTCTGCTTCTGTCGCCCTGGTGGTTTCTTAATAAAACTTCCGAGAATGTGCAATATTTTTAATTAAATAGAACCTTCTTCTTGCGAATTCCTTCTTATTTAAAAATTTTGTGACGAGACTTCTTGTTCCGTAACTTTGTTTCCTTTCTGAAAGCATTGTATGGCAATTTACAATATGTTTTTTATTAATATTTTTTTGTATCTGAACGAAACTTGTATGTAATTTTTTAGACTCTAGGAACGGTTCCACTAGCAAGCAACGTTTGATATATTAAACTATGTCATTGTATAGTGGATTTACTAATTACAATGTGTTTGTACCTACGATGGTAATAAGGTAGGTATTAAGATTGGAGTTTCCTTCAAACATTTTAGAATAGAATAAACACAATTAGCGAAAATAAACACAGCGAAGATTCGAGAAACAAAAAATTCTCAAATCAACGGCGAATTGTAAACTCCCCAGTCATCCAAAACTTTAAGTAAGACGTGAAAAATGGGAATATGAAAAGAAATAATTTTCCGCGTGAGTCGACTGTGCAAATGAGCTGAATGAAACAGCTCAGGCGAATGATTAAGTGCTCAATGAAACAATGTTCAACTTAAATCGAAATACTTGTTTCACATACCTGAGGCACTGTTTAAATAAATATAAAAAAGTTATTGGTGTTGATATGTTTTCATACGTTATATAAAAAAGAAGATAAAAAAGGGCAATAATTTAAAAAATGATCGTTGACAATCTTTAACTAATTATATTTGCCGTTCTTTAAATTCAAGGCCTTTCAGGATTATAAACTCTTTATAATACGTATTAAAAGCAATAAAGTAAATAACACAATATAATAATAATAATAATAATAATAATAATAATAATAATAACAATGCTAGACCAATATCGACACATGCTGCCCTCTATTGTAAAAGTAAAGTACAAATTGTAATCTTTAATAGTATTTCTTATAGCGCCACCTATTGTTGAGTAGAACAACTGAGTCCAACAAAGTGAGCTGATTTCCTATTGGACGGTTAACATCTCGACACCACCGATGTCGAGTTTCAGATGTCGTCATAAGCCACCTCCTTCATTATTCAGCGAGCCTGGTACTTTGTTCTGCGACGCGCCGCAAATATTCCATCAATGTTTTCCATTGGCTTGTTCGGCGCATGCGTAGTTTTTTTATGCGCGTTGAATGGGCCTTTGGTAATTTTCCACACTTTTCTAATTTAATACTGTGTTTGTTAGTTTTTTAAATATATGTACCTATACAATAATTTAGTTTTAATCCTATGTGGATTGATGTAATAAAGTTTTTTATAATAAATACCTAAGTCTTATTGAAGTTAATCTTATACAGTAAATCGCACGCTTAGTATTAGAGTGACCTAACTCAAAATTTAAGTAAAATTAGATAAATGCACTGACATTACTGTAATAACGCCATCATCATAGTTTTATACGATTTGCCAAAAAGTGTTTTTTTTTTTAATTCGGTCACTGTAATACTAAGCGTGCGAAATAATAGTTATGAATTTATATTATTTACATTATTATAATAAAAGAAATACATCAGTTTTTATCTATAGAAGGGGTTTAAATCATTAAATTATTATAAAAATATTGGTTTTCTTAGTGTATTTTTTATTATTACAAGAAACTGTTATTGTTTGTGCTTTTTTTGGATTATTTCTCAATTTCTTTATAGTATTTATTATATTAACTTCCTAAATATTTTTGATTACTAGTGGTAAATGAAAATCGCCAATAGGAATAATAATATAATTAATAACTTCATATTTTATAACAAATACAGTATCGTATATATTTTGATCAGTACGACCATTGTGAATGAAAAATTATATTTACAATGGATTTAAAGCTATAAATAATAGTATGTGTTTATAATAATTAATATGTACATTTTATAAACTAAACCTTAAAAAACAGTCATTTCATGAAGGCAGTTTTTATAAATTAACCTAACGTAAAATATCTATGAATTTATTTACATCTATAATTTAAATAATACTTTAGGACGGATTGTAGTTTACAGTTCACACCACGAAATATAAATTATAAGGCACTTCAACAGTATGATACATTAATTTTGTTCTGATAAAATGTAAGTAAACTTTACACACTTAAACGTAATCGTTCATCTTAATTCTTTATACTCAATACGACGTAGAACTACTGTCAGGTCGTAATTGTTTTGTCTGTACGTCGTCATAAGCGATAGTGAAAACGCTCTTTTTCTCTGTGATCGGTAATCGTTTTATGTTACCGGTTTGTTGGGCTAGCGTTGTCATAGCTATACCGGAATCGTTATCATCTAATTTTGTAGTGACAATTTTACCACCCGGGTCTCCTCCTATGTTTATCTTTGATACGTGGACTTCCGAAGCCTTGCGACCTTCGTCGTAGTTCGTAGATATTGATATACTGTGAGTTAACGCACTCTCGGCCATTTCTTGTGACTCCTTGTTTTTCACTTCATCTTGATTCACGTAGATCGGCTGTTGTTCAATTGATTGTCGACGCGGTAAAGCTGGAGCGATCGATTCGAGTTTGAGATATTTCGGTATATGCGTGGGCTGAACATGACAGAGTGGGTTTTGATTCTCGTACTGACGTTCGTATCGATGCTCCGAATGTTGCAATAGTGGATGTACATCGGGCAACGGTCCTTCAGGGGTGGGTGTTACTTTACCCTCTCTCAGTAGACGTGGGTGAATAAATTCACTTTCCTTTTCTTTGAAGTTTTTTTTTGTTTCCCCATCAGTATGCTCTTTTGGCATTATTTTGCCGTATCGTCCTGATTTCTCCGGGGGTTTAGCTGGTTCAGTTTTTATTTTAGACGGCCTTTTGGGTTTGTCTGGTATAGCCTTTTCCGGGGCGGGTTTCGATGTTGTGGCAGGTTTTTTGCTATACCATTGCATGTATCTTGGTAAACTTTTTTGTGCAGCTTTACTTTCACTTTGCTTACCATCTTCAGTTTTACTACTTATTTTAGATTCGTCTTTTTTAGAGTCAGGTGACTTGTCTTTGCTATCAAAATCGCTAGCGATTTTCTGGTCTTCTCGTGTCTCAGTAGAGGAATCAACTTTAGAAGGCATTTTCTTATTATCTCCACTACCACTACTAATATTTCGACTATCTCGGTTACTTTCGCGTTCGTATGAACTAATTTCTGATATTTTATTTGAAGCTGTAATTTGCCTATCTTTTATTCTTGGCTTTAGTTTGTCCGGTTGAAGTTTCTCGTCAAGAGAATCTGAAATTTCTAATAATATTTCACGTCTCAACTTTTCTTTTCTGTCACTATCGCTAAGTTTAATTTTCGTGGAGGACATTGTTTCGTTTTTTGAGGTTATAACTGTGCTTTTAGTAACATCACCGTAATGTTTAGTATGTTCCTGTCTTTCATTCGTCTTGCTTATTTTAACATGTTTTTCACTGTCTAAAGACGGAGATGCTTCACTTTCTTCAATAATAGGCGTTTTTATTTTTCTTTTGACATCATACGAACGCATACTTCTGCGAGGATCTTTATATTTTGTCTTTTTCTTAGATTTCTTTCTTTTTAACCATGTTGGTTTACTTGCCTCGTCTTTGTTGGAAATTTGAGACTCATCTTCGCTGTAGGAATCGTTATCGCTTCGAGATTTTCGTTTGATTTCATTAAAAAGCTGTGGTTCAGTTTGAGTACCAATATGACATTCGGTCTGTGTAGCCATAACTGAATGTCCCGGTAAACTCTGTGTTTCTAACTTACTCTCTACTTGTGAAGCAGTCTCATGGTTTTGGAGCATCTTTTCTCTCTCGACGAGAATTTGATGTAAAAGTTCATTTTGTTTACGTAAAGATGTTTCTAACAGTTCTTGGTTAAGACTAGATTTATTTTGAATGTCTAATAAAGCTGATTGTAAATATTCAGCTTTTAAGGGTACTGTACCGGGAACGTCTTGGTGTAAATTACTGTATTCTTGCATTTTGCTTACTTCGTGAAGTTTTTGTCCATTAATTCTGCTCTCTTTTCCGACCGAAATTTCGTCTAAATCTGTCACGAGCTTCGAATTCATACGTTCCCTTATATGTTTTGCTTCTTCACCTTGTTCTCTAATAAATCTTTCCATAAGTAACTCTTTACCGTTATCTACAACTACGTATTGAGTCTGTGGGATTAATGTCACTGGTCGTTGTTGATGTACTGGAAGGTTAACATAACGTTCTTCTTCATTATGTCCACGCGTAACGAGTCTGAGGATTTCGGTATTACCTTCACGTATAAAATATTGGTCCCTTGCAAGAGAAGACGGAGCATGGATTTTGTCATGGTATTCTAATTTAGTTCTATTTTCTTCGTTATCTTCGGTATGTTTAATTGCTTCTGGCTTAACGGCAACACCAACATCAGACCCCCGGTCAATTTCGTGTCTTCTAATAGAATCATTATCTTGTTCTTTTCTGTGATGAAGAGTTGCGATTCTATCGTAACCATTTTCCAGATCTTCAATATACTCTTTATGTTTGTTGGCAAATGCTTGTTGAAGCTGCATTTCCTTGGTATAGATTATTTTTGGACCATCCCTGAAACAATAAAGGAATTATATAATTATCTATTTAAATATATAGCTGTAATAATAGATACTATAATATGTAAGTAGGTTAGTATTTTAACTACAAAGCGTACCTATTTCTTAAGGAATGTCTAGTATCGTCATATTTATAATCGTTGTCTTCAGCGGCGTGTACAAATTCATGTTCGATGTCGCTGGGTGTCGATGATGGTTTCGTCATGTCTTTTGACTTCTGATGTCTCTTATTAAACTTCCATTGTGTCGGTTTTGTTCGTAAATCTGTCTGTTCCGCGCTCCAAGCCTCACGCCTCCTCCACTCGGACGATCGAACTGATTTATTTTCTATATTTTGGCTCGTCTTGTTTTCCCTCCCAACTCTCTTGTCGCGTACCACTAAATGCACGTCGTCTTCTGTGGAGTTGACACGTATCACTCTTTTCCTAGAATTTATTAATGGATATCTATGTACCTAGCGTTTGACTTATGTTCAATGTACATGAATAGTGCCAAATTTTTACAGTGATGTGTTCTCATGCATACACGTACTAAAAATAACAAATGAGTAATGAGTAATATGTAGAAATTGAAGTATTTTTTTATAAGCAATCATTTAATTCCAAGTTAAAGAAGCTTGTATGTTTTATGATGTAATGTGTAATAATGAAAGCTCTCAGGTAAGTGATGTTAGTTGTGTTATCCATCTTTAAGCAATATCAAAGCCATACTACGCTATTCAATAAAGTTTAAAAATAAAGTATTAATTTACCTGGGGGGCATGTAAAGAGGGCATCCTTCGCAGATACAACAGCATATTAAAAGTAGTAAAACAAGTGCTACTAATATTGCCAGTAGAATTAATAACCAGAATAGTAAACGGTTTTCAGCTCTGTACAGGCTCTAAAAAGAAAAATAAAAGTGTTATGCGAATCAAAGTATATTTTAATAAATAATCTTTGATCGAGAAAATGTATGACACAGTCAGGACTTGAACCCACGATCAACAGCGTACTGTGTGTACTTCTCTCTACGAATCAAGCTACTATGTGACGTCCTTGTTAAGCAAACTTTACACATTATTATAAATATTGAGGTAACTTACGGAATCTTCCTTATTCGCTGTTGAAGTTTGATCGTTAGGAATTGCACCTGTGCTGTACACCGTTTTATTCTTCATAAGCTGCTCTTGCAACTTTGCGACATTTATAGCACTATTTTCGGACGAACGCACAACGGCTATAACTTCACTCCTATAATAACAAAAATAATCTTTCCTGTAATTTGGTTAAAATTAAAGGATTTGAACCGTTATTAAATGCTTCCCAAACTTCAGATCGTAGATAAAATTTACGGCCTTGAATATAAATCACGTATCACAATTAAAATAGTTTTGTTTAATAATTGAAAGCTTCCATACTTACTTTTCTTGACTAGATCCCTGACCGTTTTCATCATAGGCATTGTAATCATTGCCTTTGTATGGCTTAATATCAATGATATTTACTTTCCCTCCTGAAAGGGTACTTAATAATTCCTCTAACTTCTTTCTATCTGGATTGGCTCCAGGGACAATAAAGGACATAGTTCTCGTTTTACTCTCTGGTGGGTAGATTTTAATTGGAGTTGTTGTAGACAGTCTTGGGATGCCGAGGTCGTAAGCTCTTACAGTTAGAACATACACCTCACTGTCCTCGTCATTATCTCGTCGTTTTCTACTTCTTACGTTATCTTTTTTCGTTCTCTTTAATGGTTCTAATAGGTAGAGTTCACCTGAAATAACGAAAATTGTAAATTTAATTAATAAATCGGGTAACTGTAATTCCTTTTTCTCTTATGGCCATATTTGTGGCTTAACTTTTTAATGCATTACGTAAAGTATGAATAATGCGTTTGGATCTCTAAGAATCGTAATAAATAGCGACAGAAGTTCAAATGACTACTAATCTGTTAATGAAATCTTTTACACACTTACTACTTTTCTTTTAAATAAAGTTACTATATTTACCTGTTTCTTCATTTATAGCAAACTTTCCATCTCTGTTTCCTTCTATAATTTCATATCGTACTACATTGTTAGGTGGTTCTGCGTCTTTATCTACTGCCTTCACGAACGCCGGCGAAGTGAAATTACTCAAATTCGGCGATAGCACAAATTCATACAATGTCCTCTCAAACTCTGGTGGGTTATCATTAACATCTAACAACTTAATTATTAATGGCACTGTTACTCTTAAACCTACCCCGTCATTATCTCTAGCCTCTACTAAAAAATGCAAATCCGGCATAGCTTCTCGATCGAACCCGTGGTTGTTTGTCGCGATCGTGATTAAGCCAGAAATGGGATCTAAATTCAGTGATGTATTTAGGTATCCTAATATGGCAGTGTATTGGATTTTTCCAAAGGAACCCGTATCTACGTCATCTGCCTGCACTTGGACTACTCTAGCTCCAGCTGTTATGTTCTCTGGTAGTTCCACGTCATATGATAAAGCTAGGAACACCGGGGCGTTGTCATTAACGTCGTTCAGGTAGACGGTGACATTTGCTGTAGCTGAGAGGTTTGTTGCTGGACCCAGTTCTTGAGCCAAAATCTGGAAACACCATATAAATGATTAGTAATACTTCACAACAATACTACCAGTTCTTTCAATACAGTCTACTCTTGAGTCTAATGGTAAAAACTGAAATGGGTTACTAAACATTATTTTTTCATCTTTATTTATTGTGACTGTGAATTAATATTACCTGAAATATAACTGATTTCCTAGCTTCAAAGTCCAGCATCGTATTATCCCGTACTTTAATAATGAACTGAGCATGTCTTTCAGCGACCGTGGGAGATATTTCGAAGGTGCCATTATTTCCCACGAGTGAGAGCGAAAACACGCCATTTTTACCCGCATCGTTGTCATTGACTTGGGGGATGTAGGGATCACTAAACGTTAACGCTGTGCCTTGAGGAGCGTTTTCGTCCAAGTAGGTGATGTAACTGGAAATGTAGAAGGTGAAAAATGAATATTGATATTGTTTAAGAAAAATGGTAAAGAAAAGAGAAATACAGAAGTCTTTGTTGTCAAAATGTAACTCTTTTGTGGACGTCAGTAGTTTACAGTATTATGATCCAAAAAAAAAATCTCAGTTCCAGTTTCCGTTTCCGTTGAGTATCATATTTGTATTTTTCTATTACAGTTGAAACAGTTTGATTTATAATAAGATCAATTTTAAACATTTACCTAAATTAAATGAAATTTGATTTAAAATATATAATTTTAAAATACTAACTATTCATTCTCGAAGTATGGAGGCGAATTATCTCGTTCAGGCAATATGAAGGCCAGCTGGACAGTCGATGACATAGCCTCCGGCTCTTCCCTGGATAAACGAACTTCTTCAGCCACAACCGTCAGCAGAATTGGAGCACCGGCGTGAGAAATCGCTGCGATCTCTTCGATTGGTCGTTCTAATGTCACCTCGCCTGAAATTGATAAAGATGTTCTACAGTGCCATCTATTGTTGAAAAAGTGAATTATGGCAATCTTGACATGTTTGGTTGATACAGTTTTAGTTCTTTCAATCATTACAGATGTCAGTTATTTTAAATGTCTTTGTTTTTTTGCGTTGTTTTATAGCCTATCACATTGTTTTATCCTAGCTGTAGCAAGGCACGTACCTATCTAATGATTTGTTAATATTATTTTCACATTTTATTAAATAAGGTAGCATTTGTTTGATGTAAATAAAAGTATATAGTTCAATTGCTTAGAGCAACACGACGAAAGGACTCATGTCTACGGAGCTTAGCAGAAATAGAAAGTCACATCTTTATACAATTTTCACAACGTTTTTTGTAACAAAGTAGTTCAACTATTGTCAAGATAGGCTCAATAATAAGACCTCTCATAGCTAACAATTAATTATGATAATGTATGTAAGTGGGAATACAAGAACAAGACGTGTGACATGGAGAAAAACGTGTCAGTAATTAGCATACAAAAGTAGCCCTAGACATTCTACACTGACGTTCTCCTGCTTGGTGACAAGGCGGATTGTATTAAGACCTTATGAATGATTCATAGGACAATTATTTTGTGGGGTATTTTGAATAAAGTCATATTTATCAGCGTGAGCAAGGACTATTAAATATAAGCCCAAAATCGTTACTATATCATTAAAATACGTACTTAGAGAGTAACTAAATCTTGAAAATTAAGGTTAGGTTTTATTTATTGTGTACTGCTCGCGTAAGCTACAGATAGTGTTTAATTAAAGTTATTCAATATTTTTATTATTTATTTATATATTCTTATATATATTATTTAATATTATTTTTTATAGTCTATGAAATTTGTCTATAGTCGAATTAACAGACATTTACTAAAATAATTACTAACATACTCGTATTGTATTGATTACTGAAGAATTATATTTTGTAAAATATAAACTTAAGTATTGTCTGTAGTTTACCAGAGTAGTATACATTTAATTTACTAATAATAATAGTTCCCCCGTGTCCACGGCTGCTGCAAATCCGAACGTCGGACCGTAGTTAAATTGTAAATAAGTTAACTAATATATTTCAAGTTTTAGGTTAAAAATGTTTAATTAAAATATTAAATAACTTCGATACTGGTTTCATAAATTGTCATAAACAATATAGGATAAGAATTTAAATAATACAAAGGTCAAAATTGTAAATAATCCCTTGCAAAATGTAATGCGAAACAATGGAATTTTCATATTATAAACAATGATTATTACGAAACAAGGTTGGCTTTTGCTGGCCCCGCAAACAATGGTAGGAGAGGCGTGACAGCAGGGGCTATGTACTAATGAGGTATTATGTGCCCGGTTAGCAGTATGCAACCTTGCATTTGTACCGGCGATCTCGAACTATTAAATCGAATTGAAAGAATCACGCTACTTTCGTCCTTAAGACGAGCGCCGCATGACGTCTTATCCGTTGATACTTGGATGAACTTTCATAATTCAAACATTAGGCTATGGTCCTCTTGAGGACGTAGATACAGCTTACTCTTTCGCCCGGGCACCAAAGTGTCGGAACTGATTCTTGCTTCTCTTTGATGGTTGTCGGCGCTTTGCGTGGCTATATTAGTTGCTTTTGAGTTCGTTAGTCGCAACGGGTAGTAGTTTAAATCTCTAGTTAATTTTCGGGAACATATACTTATAATCCAGAGCTTTGTATAACTGTAACTAATTCGAAATGGACCGTCCGTCTACAGATGAAAAAGCCGTGAAGTTTTATTGCATTTCCGTTTCAGTCTGTGGGTTTCCGAATATTTGAAGCCAATAGCGTCGACAGAGTATCTTGCTATATAGCAAGGGTATTTTCTATCAAAAGAATCACATGTTTGTCGCTACTTCTTTTATACCTTGCGTTACATTGAATCTTTGCACTGGTTAAAAGGACCTAAGCTTACCGTTAGATCGCAACCTTAGACTCATTAAATACTGTTTCAATAACTTTAACTAATATATCGCGTTTTAAACCGTTACAGTGTATTATTTAACCTTAGACTCATTGTCAATTTTGAAGTTTAAAATATGCATTCGCGTATTTTGGTTATTTGGCCAGAAAGTTTGGTGTCTTAATTGACAAACTTTGGCTGTTAATGTGAATTATTTTGCCAAAACCTTGACTTAATCTGTCAGGTCACGTGAATTGAGTAAGAGGTGAACGAGTCAGTAGGAAATCCTTTGCGATTATTTAAGGTAAACGGATGTGGCAAATCAATATTAATCAGTAACATTAAAAAAATAAGGATAATACAATTACAATCTATTTAGCTGTTGCTCTAACTAATTAATCTACCTAGTCTCCTATTTTTTCCCATCTAAATTGGTTTTAAATTATAAAACGCCAACATGTACAATAACATGTGAAAGATAAGAAGGGTTTAAATAAGGGCAATGCCTTTGTTTAAAATTGCAATTGTAAACTTAATGTGATTCCTCCAAACCTCTTTTAATTGAGCTAGTAGCAGCTGTATTAGAAATACAATGTTTATGAAAAGTTGTCTTTGTCTTATACATATACATGATATATATTTGTTGCGGTGTTGAGCTTACACGTAATAAAATATCTCAAGAACGTCTATTAGATCAATTGGAAACAAGTATATGGTAAATACACTTTTATATTTGTAATTGAAGCATGCAGAAAATAAATATGAAGAAAACAAAGCTATGAAAATTATTAAACCTACTTTCAAATGATATATGGCTTCAGTTTTATATATAATAAAGTTTAATTGGATATGTTTTTATTTATAGATATCGCGCTTTGTAAATCCAATTCAGAATGAGACCATATGATTAAAATGGCTTATCTTTGACGTTAATATGGTACTGGACATATTCTATAATTCTATAAGCCCCTTCTGAATATTGCTATACAGAAGATAGCAATGGTCAAATAGCCATGAATATAACTTACCACAGCGAGCGGTCTACTTAAGCTTTTTTAAGGCATGATGTAACAAATGCCTACAATGATTCAATACAATATTTAATAGTCTAAATATTTTAATTATTGTTACTTACACTAGAAGTTATACTTGAGGTTATGTATAAGTGAGGATAGAAAGCAAAATTAACGGTTTAAAACGCGAAATACTGAACCTTGTAAGGATTAAAGTGTTTTACTTAATTAGTTGTACATTTTAAGTAATTATTAAGTAGGTACTGTGTTATTACCGTTAATAATGAGCTATAAAAATAAGTAAGGCTGAATATTTTTACGAGTGGTAGTTAAATGTTAAACCCATAGTTACGAAAGAAAGCCCGTTGAAAGTATAACGACCCTTTGTCTTCATAATTTATTTAGGTAGACGACAAGCATTGTTTTATTAATAGCTATTATTAAAGTAATAAGCTTTGCTTTGTAAGGAGAATGCTAGCATCTTACTACCAAAGTTATTTACTTTTTCAAACGTTATTAAATAATCCTAATGCAAGAGAAAATTATATACAGATACATAAAACAAAATGTAAAGCTACTTTTATGAATTAACCCAGGGAGCATTGTAATATATCTCTAATCTTCGGTTGTAAAGAATCAAATAAACGTCAAAAGTTTAACATATTTTTAAAACTGTTTAATAGTAAACTAACTTTTCAGACCTTAAGGTCTAAAAATAAATAATCCTAGGCGTTTATGATACAAGGTTTTTATGACTATTGTTTCGTATGCTTTATATGATTGTAAATAAAATAAAATATCTTCTGTAAACTTTAACTCAAATCAAAGGTATCGCGAGCTTTTGATTTTCAAAACGATAATTAAAAAATAAAGGTAGAAATGTTCTATATATATTAAAAAACGATTATAAATACATATCAAAAATACGACACGGACAGGACTCTAACCGGTATCCACAGCGTTTCTTGCGTTGCTCTAACAAATTGAGCTACAGAGTCCTACACGTCATCGTCAAATGAAAGTAATACGTCATAGAAATAAGATCTCAATTATGGTCAATAAATATTTGGCTATTTCGACATATACCATTCTGCCTCAAGAAGCACTTATTTATAACAACATAACTTCTTTATAATACACTTGCCATTCTATTCTCAGGTTCGATATCCGTGAGACAAGATAATGTTAGAAAATTACGTCTGATTTTAAACCTATATTTTACATTTATAGCAGGAAGTTGAAACGACGGACAATGCGAACATATATCTTCACAGGTATGCAAGAGCGAGTAAATTGGTAGATGCTGGCGTGCTGATTCTTCACACTCACGTTTCTAGGGTTCCGTATGCAAAGGGTAGAACGGGACCCGTGTACGATTCTGTTTCAAAACTCTTATGGACGTCAGTCTGTCACCATTTTGTAAATTTTATCCCCAGAACATCACAGTAAAAATTTGAACAGTTGCATTTCTTTTGACTGACCGCCTCTGTAGTCAAATGGTTAAACGTATTGCCTAGAATTGCGTTAAGCGCGAGGGATCCTGGGTTCGAACCCCAGAGAAACTAAACGAAAAATTGTTTCCGTGGGGCAGGGCACAAAGTCTAATCAACTACTTGCCTGTTAGAGAACACATCAGTGAAACGGACACAAAAATTGTTCGATGTACTGAAGAATATAACAAATACTTGATACTTTGTTGTGTGTACTACGAGTGGTTTATAACATTTAACATTAGCTCCACTTAGTGGACATCCCAGCTCTATAACATATTATCTAATTAAGATGCGCAGTCGCTTGGTGTTAGAAATCTACAGACTGAAACCGTAATGCACATAAAGCCACTGTATTTTAATCTGTGTGTATTCATTAGCCACTCATTGCTACCACTGGACTGGATAATGCTTTAGTCAGGCGAAGTAGGTACAATTTGAAGAATGAACAAATAGATTAGGAGTAAATTATTCCCGATACATATCAACGCTATGAAAGCGAAATGGCGTGAGATTTAGTTTAGATTTGCTTTGATTTAGTGCTGTATTTATTTACTGACTATCGTGTTACTCGTGTCTCTAGTTAATCTGGACAAATCTTAATCACGTACGATTTCATGGTATTTCAATTTATCGATATAAAGTCATGGTATCATTTGGTGGTACTAGTACCAAATACTACCATATTTGTTAAGTTACCAAGTAAAGGAAATTGCTAGTAAAACGGCAGGTTAACTTTGTAACGGGCCATGTCTGTATTCTTTTGGTTCAGTTTTAACGACTTATATTCCCTTTATGCACGTTCGCACAAATCTACAAGCATCGTATCAATTATACTATCCCTATATCTCAATCTCCATCGTTCCACTACTCGAGTCGTTTATTAAGATTCGTTTTGTCTGTGGATTTTTCTTTCATGCCACTCGTTAGCCATTGTTTTTCATACAATGCTTCGTTAAGTCTTTTTACTTTAATTGGTTCTAAATCTTTCAACGTAACGGCGTCTATCACATATCCGTATACAAACACATACACTTGTATCTAGGATCTTACATTAACCAATGTCTATCTATTTTTATTATAAATAATAAGCTGTGTAGCGACTTTGACCGCATATGATAGTTGTTTTGCGCATCAAAGTTTACTCTCCGCGCGTGCCACCGTTCTTGCAAGTTAATTTTAAAAGATAGACATATACTGGCGCGAATTTCTTAAATCATTCAAAGAGGAATCATTCTTTCATACATTTTTTTTAGGTAAATTGATTGAAAGATAAATAATTCTCCCCGTTTTAGCCACATTTCCCGTTGTTTCTTCACTACTATTAGTCACAGCGGGATGTTTTATAGTCTCCCTCGATAAATGCTGAGAAGCAACACAAAAAGATGTTTTTAATTCGAAGTAGTTCCTTAGATTAGTGCGTTCAAATAAACTCTTCATCTATATGTATTAGTAAAGATAACAAACCTGTAGTCTCGTTGATGTTAAAGAACGGTGTGAACGGATTTCCCTCCGACACCAGGCCGTATCTGATCTGCCTAGGAGCTCCCTTGTCTCCGTCTTCAGCTCGGACCTTCACAACCACGTCCCCTGGAACCACCTGACGAGGCAGGTGAGTGATAGGTGGAGCAGTCGTAAACACTGGAGGCATATCCTGGACATCTTGAACTACTACGACGACTTCTAGCCCAGCTATGTTACGAGTGTCTTTACCGACTTCCACGTATGGATCCTGGAAAATTTATTTACAATAATTATTTATAATAAGACCTATCATAAAACTTGAACTAAAATACGTTTATAATATAGTATTAAGAGTTAGTATTATGAGTTAAAGAAAATTTAACGGAAGTGGTAAAAGTAAATTTCTAAGTATTTAATTATAAACCAGTTTTTGACCCTATTATAATGTTTACATATATAAAATATTTTAAATACTTCCTAATGAAACAAAAAGTTCACTCTAAAATAATAATATTAATTCCACAAGGCAACAAATACTCAACAAATTTTTGCAATAATTAAACTGAAGAATACAGGTTTATATCACAGGGGTCCTACAAAAAGAACGCTTCACAATGTTTATTTTCAAGATACAAAAAGATATAATGGTAACAGTTCTTACCACCGTCAAAAGTGTCAAATGGTACATCGACTGTGCCTCGAAGTCCAGAGGTCCGACCAAGAATATCGTCCCTTCAGTGTTTTCAGTTGAAACACGGCGTTGACGGATGGCGAAGAGAGGTGAACCCTGGAATTGTATATGTTATAGAAGGACACATGTTTAAGTTATACCTTACTTTAAGATGACATTAAAATTTGATTTTAACGGGTTAAAGCGCGATATATATTAGTTAAACTTATTTGGAAATTATTTATTTACTTGCTCGGTTGCTCTCGTTGCTCGAGTCGAAAATTTTTTCAATTTATTTTCGATTTTTAAATTATATAGTGCCTTCATGTGTAATAACATGTAAAAAATATTAATGTTTTCAAATAAAAAAAAATACAAAATTAAACGACAACTCAATATCATAGCTATAAAAATGTTTAGTTATATTTACTAGTATTATTAATATGGATAATACTTTGACGGAAGCACTTACAGTTAAAAAGGACATATTTCCGTATCAACGCATCAATCTAGAAAGACATGATCCACCACACCTAGTGGGATCTGACACGCCCGATTGTTAATAATTGCGCAGTAATTTGTGCAACATCATTGCATTAAAGTAACAACAACTTAGCGATCTAGGCTTGGAAGCTATGAGACACCTCAGCTTGAGTTAAGTGCCGTGTAATTTCTATATATAAATTTTTATATTAGTTACTTATTAAAGATTATATTATAAGTTTTTTACGAAGAAATATTATAGTTTATGAGGCATTCATTGTACATTGAACTAAATATGTCTAAGTTAAATGACCTGTAAACAGTTATTAAATTACTAAATTACGCTAAACTAAGCACGATATTGTTGTTTAATGGCAAAATTCGTTGAATAGCAATGTGCAAATTTTCAATTGTTGGGTCAGATGGCACATAAGTACTTATCTGCCCTATCAACTACATGCCTGTACGTAAAATCTGTAAAACGAAGACAGACACGTATACGTCCATTACTAGACAGGTAAAAATGGGATTTCGCTACGACACGGAAAACTTGCATTGTGCTATTTTATTACTGTGCCAAACAGTTAAAGCTGAGTTTTTAACAAGTTAACGTATGCGGATTTCCCGAGTTCAATTATCGCCTGTGCAAAAAAAATACGTATTACTGTCACTTATGACGTAATTATTGAATCCAAAGGCAAAGGGTTGACAGCGCATCTGGCCAAGATTTTATATGGCTAAGGTCTACACCATTAAGTAAAGGTAAGTAAGGTGAGCCCCAAACCCCGTGGCTGGTCTGATTTCCTCAACCATAAAAAAAATTGCTTTTACTCTGGACATATTTTTTTTTATTAGCATGACTTTTATACCCTTAATAAGAACGAGAACGCACAGAACGCAATAAAACGAGTTACACCCAAGTACAAGAACAAACACCATGTAAATGATCCCCTTCTAAGAAGCCGCTTGATTCATTTTTAATTCCTACGCATATTAAGTTATATTCAGCGTGTAAATCATAAATGAAGGTCCATAATCTTGGTGTCTATTAGCGTTCTTCATTATGCGGTTACAACAAAACGCGTGTCGAAGGCTTTTACCAAGAAAGTCATTAAACGATTCTATCGCTGCGTATGAATAATTCAACTCACCCAAAGTTCCAGTTCCAAGGGCTTCGAAGACACAGGATTCTTTCTCGCAATGACGATCTCGAGGTCTGTGCCGCGTTTTGCATCCTGTTGAATAGCAATTACTTGAGATACCTTTCAGAGGTCGTTTGGTGAGCAAGTAATGGGGCAATTGCTGGTTTACTTCATATATTTGTTGCTTAATTAAAAGTAATGTAATAATAAATTACCGTCTCTGTAGCTCAATGGTTAAACGTGTTGCCTGGCATTGCGTTAATCGCGAGAGGTCCTGGGTTCGAATCCCGGGGAAATAGTAGGTTGTTTTGGTTGGATAAATAAAATCAGTGAACGATCACAGAAATGTGTTCGTATAAATGTTAAAAGATTTAGATTTTGTCGATATTTCGTTGGCTGTCTTTTAATACTATCTGATATATATAATTGAATTTGCTTTTATAAAAAGCTTACGAATAATATGTTATATATTGCATCTATATATGCAATAACATGTTTGTAGGCAAAACATTCTGTATCCGTTTCAAGGACACAATAAATCCTTTCAACTTAGATCAGGGTTCTATACCCAGACTGACTGTATTTATTGGTTCCCGGAGTTCAAAACCACGACCTCTTCTTCTTGACACAATACTAGACCATAAGTTTAGCCATTCAAATAAGGGGGTCAATATATGTATCTGCTCTTTTGTTATTGTACAGCTTTACATGCAAATTATGCTACGCTGAACACTTTTTAGCTCGGGCCATTGTGTACCTGATTAATGTGACATTCAAACCGCATGCATGCACATGCACTAGAATTCACTTGATAAATGTGCTCTGAAATAAGACCGTGTTTACACCGGTAATGTATATTCAAAACGCCTAGAGGTGTGAAGTGTCAGATGAACTATATACTTTGTCTCATGTAGGATGATTGGTTTAACATAATATTTAATTGTACGTGATTATCGATTTCTTGTTTCATAAAAAGTCAATATGTTGATATATAAGATTCTGTTTTAGTTTTAAAAGTTTTTAGCATTTTGTTTCCCATATTAAATAAAAGTCTAAAATCTTTCATAATATAATGAGTAAATAATATATCTGCATTACCATTTTATTTTCTTTTACATATTAGATTAATTTTATTTTAAAATCGGTTTTATATTTATCACACACACTCGATGAAATATAACGACAATTATACCTTGCCGAAAAAATCAATGCAACAGATGTAAAGTGTCAAACTTGTCATCTCATATTAGACAAAGTATAATGGTGTAAGAGTTAATTCCGATATTTCATATCCGTTAGAAGCGTCGCGTCATCATCATCAATCACTGCACGGCACCCATCTGCCGCTGTCTCATTCGTTGACGTATACGGCACTATATTTATATGAATAAACATTTTAAAATGCCCTTCCATGTTATGTATCCCTGGTAGATTATCTATCTCAATCTACATTTTTATGATTTTAAAGTCGTACTTTAAGCTCCTAAATTATAGTAACTAGTGGAATAATTTAGTTGTTACCTCTGGTACTAAAATGATGCTAGGCTGATGAGGAAATATGGTATCCCTTGGGGTAGTGGCATTGGTCCCAGTTATAGAGCAAGCAATCCTAGAACTCCTGCCTCTAGTGTTTCGGACTGAAAGTCGGAAGTCCACATAACGCCCTGGTTCCAGCCTCCGGAGTAGTATCACATTCGCTTGGCACACCGAGTTGTAGCGCGTGCATGGTAGAGTCTCAATACCTACGTCCAGACGACCCATTTGACCTGTAATTTTCGTACTGTTAGAAATTGTATTTATTAAAATGACTGCGTTATTCAAAATTGATTCTTTAATTGTTCGTTATATTATTTAAAATAATAACCTTAACTAATTATCTAAAGTTTCAACTAGGATGGCAAAGTACCTACCTATCTGCATTAGACCAAAATCAAACTTGGAGTGGGTTCTAAGATATCACCACGTTTAATAAATGTATCAAAAGACCCTAACTAAAATGTCATTGTACAGCCTTAGGAATTAAACTATCATAACAAAGCCGACTTTATTTTGACAGTCGCTTAAAGGTGCAGTCAAGAACTACAAGAAACTGTCAAAATAGATTGTAATTCAGAACTTCAAAAGACTTTGAGAAATGCAACGGATCTTGGGATTTGTAAATTATGGCCCGAAAGAGTAATGATTTTGAATTGGACAAAAAACTAAAAACACTTTATAAAATGAATCTAACAACAGAAAAACACTCTTGCGACATTTTTACACTTTCGTACGCAAATGATGAAAACTGAAGAATAATACAAAGGTCTGTCACTGTCTGTTAATCTGTCATTAGGATGTATATTTAGATGATACCTACAAATGTTATTTTTAAGATACAAAAACGTATTGCTTTGCCCTTTTTGGTTCGATATCAATAAATGGTAATCAGTTCATTTTATTTTTGGTGTTTAAAAACTCATAATTTTAATTATCATCAAAATTTCGCAGCTTCTATTAAACGTTAAACATTATAAATCTCCTCTTACCTATAAGTTCAAAGTGCAGCGGATAGTCAAAGTCCGGATCGGAAGCGCGGACGCGGTAGATGACGGAGCCAACGGCTGCATCCGCCGGCACGAGCACCAACCGCATCAGAGTGCTGGGATCGAACACTGGCTCACCACTCCATGCAGCCGCGAACAGGAGCGGCAGCAGAACCAGCGGTAACGTAAACGTCATCCTGGAATAGAGAGATCTTTGAGACTGGTGTATTTTTTTAAAAATAGAGGACAGACGAGCAGGGTAAAATACCCCCGCCATATAACATCTACACAAGAAGCGCTGTCGACTCATTTTTAGTAAACTTGAGAATTAAGTAAAATTAACAAAATCACAAGTGCGATTGACAATTTGTGGTTTACAATACTTTTATGGTCTCGTAAGCTTCATGCAATGTATGACTAATCAATGGGTTGTGAGTTTACTTCCCCCATCGTGCATAGATTAAAAGACATGTAGCTTGTTTACCGTTTCTACTTCAGTTTGTAGATGTCCTTCGCAATATAGATCGCATAAGGTTGGTTAATTTAACTTTGAAACAACATTACTACAGCTTGGGGTTAAACCCTAGGAAACCTTAATCCAGAGAACTCTTATATAAATTCTAATCGTCGTTCGTTTATGTAAGGAAGACTTAAGAATCTCTAAGCTCAAGAATAGAAACATGTTAACTAACACACTCTTATTAAACTACGCTTAATTAGAGCAATTTTGTCTCTGGGAGTCGTTATAAAAAACAGTATCACCATAAACGGCATTCCAGCTCCTCACTAGACGTGGTGAATAATTGCATGCGCACGCGCATGGCATATTTCAAATCTAATTCCGTACTAATCGGACCGAGTCCTCTGCCCTAAGCTTGAACTCTTCAAGTATAACACCTTATAATAGTATGCTATTACTGTGGTATGTACTTAATATAATATGGGAGGTATTTTCATTGTAAGACAAAGTAACTTAACTACTATATAATAACGTCGTGTTATTGAATTAAATAACATCACTGTCATTCAAACAACTATTAATAGATATCAGAGCGTATCTATTAATACAAGAATTGATCGACTATCTGTTAATCGATTATAATTGATGTCGATTGTCAACCTTTTGAGTACAAGTGGGTTAATTAAATTTGGTAGTAGTAGTAGTTTGTAGTGACACAACATTGGTAGAACTCATTCAGTGTAGGAGAGCCAACAAATTAAGAAAATTAAAAATCATCTTTAAATACGGTTAACTATCGATTTCTTTTAAAGATATCTCTTATTATGGCGTATCAACTTTGAAAACAAAAGACAAACGCAGTCAAGCAGATAATTGAGAAGGTGTAATAACTATCCACTAGGAACAACATCGTTTATAAAAATAAAGAATACTTAATGGCGACTTACATAAAAACCATAAAATTCGTCTTGCGAAAGATAAACATTATGAAAATGCTCTCGCTATTGTTCGCTATAGACAACTGGCGTTGTTTATTTGTCGTTACAAAATATGGCCGCGTTTGCGTGTACATCATGTTGCTATTTAATGGATATTTTATGTTCGTTGCGGTCTTGTTATAAATTGTATTAGTTAGGATCGTACAGTACGATCATAATACTATATTGTAGGACACAATTGTTTTTACGTTAACTTCAAATCGCCAAATAATAAGAAGATCGATTATTTTCATTTAAGATTTTGATGTCAGAATTATTTGAGTCTTGTAAATATGTGTAGAAGATTTTTCTGTAAAGGTTAAGTAATGAATATGTGTGTTAATATACTTCTTTTTTTACGTAAAAATTATAAAATCGTATGCAATGTTATACAAAGATTTTTTTTAATTTTTTTAGATATACTAATCAAAATTAAACTCAAAAATAAACAGAAAATGCAAGTGATCGTTCGTTGGTTAGAGTCCAGGCTACCTCTTCAATTGTTTCGTTTACCTCTCATGTTGATTATCATTTGAATTAAACATTTTCAAAATATTAAACGTACAATTTATGAAACAATTAAAATAATTTATTACGGTTGTCCATTTAATTTATCTTTACTTCAATCTGCTGTATAAATTAATAACTATTAGCGCCAGTGTTGAGAAAGGTCATTTTCGTGACATGCGCTCTCGACCTCTGAACCTTTTCTCATTCATCTGCACTTATACGTTCATTCAGGTACTACCGTAATGTAATACTTAGTAACATTAGTTCTTAGATACATAATGCATATTTAAATAAAACACTTTCACGGTTAAAACGCGATTTATATTAGTTAAAATTATTTTAACCATGGCCCGACGTAAGTTCAATATATATCGCGTTGTAAACCGTAAGTGTTTTATTTAAATGTGTACTACTCACGTAAACTACAGACAGTATTTGATATTGTATAATTTAGAATAATACTTTTTATTATGATACAATTGTTTTTCTTTGTATTTATTTTTGTGTCTTTAATTTGTAGATAACAATAAACTTCTTTGCGATTCTGACGTGAGAAAAAATGAACTAAGATTACAGTAATCTCCGATAACGCAACGTGATCGACGCCGAAGGCCCTGAGCATAATAATATCCAGGACTGTAAATCCCAACAGTTTTATCTACTTCCCTGCCAATGTAGTTCACGAACTGCTTAACATATTGTTTCTCTCAATCCCATTATAGATACTCTTTCGTTATATACATTGATTTAACAAAATAAAAATAATATTAAAGTTTATATTAATTATTTCAAAAGACATATATTTTAAATTATTTAATGACTAAATATGTCTTGTCAATTATATATGGAAATAATTAATAATAATTGAAATAAAACACTATTAACTAACATAAAATAAATTGCAACAAACTAATATATTATATATATATATATATATACAGTACATAAATTAATCGTAAGTCACTTAAAATTCTTCTGGCATTGAATTGTTTTGTCGACCTTTTATTATAATTAGACTTTCAAGTGTTATCATTCTTCTCAAGTGCATCCATTCTATAAAATTGACATCACCAGAATAAATGTCAATCTGTAAAACAAGGTTACATGTCACAGCGATATATGACAATTTTTTATTTAATACTGTTGAAGCAACTGTCTAGATTGTTTGTTTGTTTGTGTAATGCTTGCGTTAAACGGCATCGACTCCTATACACTATCTGATTAAAACTCTGTTTCCCCGGAATAGAAGCCCGAGACTAGAGACAGGAACTTAGTGATCAAGACGTTGAGATTTGGTGTAAATCTGTGACCAATTACGAATACTTTTTGACTTTGTACTTGAAACGAATATTATAAAATTAATGAAATAGTCTCTAATAAATTAATTTCGTTTCCTTTAAGACGTTTAATGACAATGTATTACCAATTGATGATTTAGTATCAAGAACACTGTATTATGGTAATAAAATGCTCTTCCATTTTTGTCTGCAGTCGGGAACAATGTTAGAGTTCATAAAGTACTTTGTCTCTTAGTTCAAGTTGTAACAGATGAACAAGTTCACTGGCATGAGTACGAAGTTGGCAACTCAAAGATAAACTCGTGTTTAAGATTTAAGACTAGCGCTATCTCGCTCAGTCGCCGTGTGATAGAGCGAGACTTACGACCTTTGATTTATAATGTAATCGAAGATTTGAAAAAAGAACAATACGAAGTTATTCGTAGAGTAACGAAAGTACCAGCTTTGATAGTGAATTATTTATATAGAGTTGATACAACTTTTGCATTTAACTTCGTAGGTTTAGTGTTTAGTATCCCGGTTCAAATATGAAATGTCTTGCAGCAGTTGGTATATTCTATTATGGTATGGTATATTATTAGTCATCACCCCGGGTCACGGAAAGAGTGTTACTACTTATGAATTGGTGGTGGTCGTTAAGGCCCGCTAACTCCCTCTGAAAAATCATGGTCTAATTTCAGAAGTTTAAACGACACTGTTGTATCAGCCCTATATACTATAAATATTCAAATGTTTGAAGCTCTAATCTATTCTCAAACTATTGTTATTGCTTTGATCGTCAAAGCTTTGTTAAGTTGTATGTAAACATCAAATTATGTAATTTAGATCTTCGCCTGTTTGAAAAAGGCTTAGTTATAGTGTGTATAAAGTTAAAATGCCACATAAATTCATTTAATAAACATCAGTCATTGTATATGAATGTCTTGAACATTTTTGAATCTTATTTCTGTATCATTTTGTGGTGACGAAGATTTTTTTTTGTTGTTGCCTGTTTTGACCTTGACCCTATGCGAGATTGGAACCCGAGGCTTCGCGATGGCCTACAAGTTAGTTCAATGTAATTCGCCTTAATCTATTTGACCACTCACTGTCCCTTTAGTAGTAAAACGATCTCCCCACGATGATTCCACATATTAATCTTATCCCAACCTTCCGCACCGCAGTATCGCATTACTCCACTATCTCGCGAATAAACAAACAATAGCGGAGTCGTGGAATATTTCGCAAAATTTATCACACCATACAATATGGATTGCACCTACAGACCGCCGTAGCGTCGGATCTTGCGAATTTGTCTGTGCTGTTTATTTATGGTCTGTCAAAGTAAATCTTGACTGTATTCATGATATGGGACCGAATGACGAATAAAGGGGCTCTGGCGTTATTTATTGCCATCGTACAATAGTATGAACTTATGGGTGGAGGTAGAGAGTCACACTTACATTGAGACTTCGAGAATCTTTCAAAGAAAGGAAGTGAATCGATACTTTTGGTTTTAGTCTTTAAATGATTGACTTCATATTGAACATTCATTTAATTTATATCAGTTAACAAACTTTTACCATTACACTAATTATACATTACACTAATATTTGTAATACACATAATACGTAGTAAGTTTTAGTAGCCTATATGATGTTATATAAACTACAAAATTTAAATGGGTCACGTTTAACGGGTAAAGGTTTAAATAGTTACTGTTGAAATGCATCTGAAATGTGGAGTCGTTAAAATAAACGTTCGCGCTTTAAACCGTTCGAAGTGTTTTATTTACATGTGTACTATTCACGTATATCAATCTTTCACTTTCGCGACATATTGTCTAAATAAAAATTTAATTATTAAATTCTTTAAAATACTACACCTCACGGGTTCAATAAATAATCTGACGCGACTTAAACAGTTGTGAGTGTATTTAATTAATAACAATACTTGTTTATAATTAAAGTTT